ATTTTGTAAAATTGAAAATAACCCGAGAGGCGAGAATAACATATCAAATAAATACACGCTAAGATTGTGAATAGATTTTGAAAATTTTGACATCATAGCTACTAGCTAGGTTTGTCAAAAGGATAATTCTACTTGTACATTATGTCATCCATTATGGATGTCAAAATGTACAAGTAGCACAATCCTTGTCAAAATGTGTGACAGCTGTCTAGACCAATTCACATGTATGTAAGCCCGGCTCAGATACATGCTAACTTGAACTAGCCAGCACAATAATATGGTTTGACAGCCTAATTTATCTTCAAAATAAGGAACCTGCCGGCCACAAATCCACCATTATTAGTGTGGATTGAGCCGGTCTGAGATGGGCCAACCCGTCATTTTTTAATCTATAAATAAGTACTTTACACGTATAATTTACTAGTAATGGTACAATTTTTTTGTAATAAATCGAGCCGATTGGGCTCGTCATCGTGATTCTCTGGAAAATTCAACCGACACGACCCACCTTTATTGGCAAATTAACTCATGAGCTTGTGCGACATGAGCTCGGCTGATTTCTGTGTGATTTTTTAACGAGTTGGGCTGCTTCGAGTCTAAGCTCAGGTCGCTTGCCAATTTTAACACAACTAGTAATAAACAACAAATTGCAAGCTATGTCATGACAATTTTTAGGTATGGTGGTGGGATTTTTGACAGGCCGGACGGAATAGGATGGAAAAAAAAATCTCTACTTCTCGTTTCATAAAATATTTATTTTTCAAATACTATTTAAATTTAAAGATATAAAAATAAAATAAAAGAAAAATTATATAAAGGCAGAGATCGTGTTCCTCATCCACACCCCTATTCCACGACAAGGCGCCGTTGGCATAGCATTTATTATATTTAGACTTGTGATTCTACCTTAAAAAATCAACATTGCTAAAAGATTAACACGTATCTTTATGTTTTGGTTATTCATTTCATTTTTATTCAAGGTGTGATTTATCATTTTACGTGATCGTAGAAGATGATGACTCGTTTAAGCAAATCAATTTTGAAATCTATTTCCCCATTTGATATTATTGTTATATATTTATATAATAAATATAATATGTGAAAGAAATAACTAATTAAGATGAAGTGCCCAACTGGTGAAAAGCGTGAAAAATCGAGAAAAACGAGATTATATATTTCTATACAGTACAGTAAAAATATTGTTCTTAGTTTNTGCAGCAGTTATCGACGGGCAATTTCGCTTTAGGACATCGTGCTGTCACGAGACTCGATCTATTGATAAATTTTTCTGCACTTTCCTGTTATTTTATCCAACAATTTGAATCGAATGCTCGTTTTAATTTAATAAGTTATGATCTACCTAGTTAAGAATAGTTATCCAAACCTTTATATATTAAATAATTTATTTCAAATTTATTTGACGAAGGATTTATCAATTATAAAATTGTGGTTGAAACATTTTTAATCAGTACATTTCACGCTTAAAAAAAATTAATCTGTAAATATGAGAAATATCATTTGTCATCGTATGTACACAAAATTAAGATCAGTTGATAGGATATGCTTGTACGTGTGATATCTATTATTTCGGTTCATATCTTCCACATACCATCAAAACATGTGTTACTGAACACAAAAAGTGTCACGTAATTAAGATAATTGGTTGTGATACCAAAAATTGTCAATTGGAAACCAATAATACTATAAAGTTGAGAAAGATAGGAACATCCCATCAAAGAAAATAGACTGAGAATCAAAATTGCTATAAAGTTAGGGACCATTTGATTGCAATAATGGAATTTGAAAGGAAATAAAATGAATTTCAGGGAATTGAATTGTCTAGAACTTGTTTTACTAGAAATTTTCAATTAATTATGTTTGATTGGTATAATTTTTCACATGAAAAAAATTGAAATTTTGGATCTTTTGGTATTCGTTCAGTTTTTTTTCTATGAAAATTGTTCATTAAAGGAATAGAATTTGTTTTATTTGCAAAAAAAAAAAAAAAAAGCTTAGAAAAGATTTTCCTGCCAAACTCATGGGAAAAACAATTNAAAAAAAAAAAAAAAAATGCTTAGAAAAGTTTTTCCTGCCAAACTCATGGGAAAAACATTTTCTCAAAAATTAAGAAAAAATGGAAATCAATTCCATGGAAAATTTAGTCGATCAAACGTGTAAAAATGTGAAAATTGATTTTAATTTCCATCTTTTACGAAAAAGAAAGAGCAATCAAACTGGGCCTTAGAGAATATGATGCATTTTCCCGTTAAAAGAATTTAGGTACCTAAAAATTAATAATTCATCTTCCCTTAAACATCTTGCTTTTCTATTTTTGTCCACTGACTTGTTCCTCGTCCACACAAGTCTCCATCAATTGCAAAGTTATGTTAAATTAAATAAGACAATAAAATTAATATAAAAATATTATTAATTATTTCATCTAGTATTGTTTAGTTCAACGTAAAGAATATCTCGTTAATATTAAGTAGACATGCTTACTGGGGTAGTTATTGCTTGCAATGGGCTACAAAAGTGTTTGGGTTGATCAAATCCGGCCCGAATATTACTGGGTCTGTGTTGGGTCAAATCCAATCAAATTATAATTCGGGTCAAGAGCTTACTTACGTTTAATTCTTATTTGTTGCAACTCTTAATGGAGATGTTTCTTTAAAAGTAACTATGGTTATGAATATACTTAGTATAGAATTCTGATAAGCCAGAATTTTCTCATATTTCATATTTCTTAAATGTATCCAATATATCCTAATCTAAAAATATTAAACGTGCTATAAATACATGATATGACCAAAAACATTATGAGCTACACGGGTTTTTCGTGGACCTATCACAACTCGCGTGTACAGTTTTTTTTATGTTATTTTTCGTTAATTCCTAAGAAAAAAGTTTGAAAGGTGACATTGGGCATTTTTTGTCCTATTTCTATCAAAATGTAGCGTAAACTATACTATTTATCCCCAACGTTTGAATAAAGTAGTAGACCTACGTTTAACATTTTTTTGTGGGTTTTTGTCCCTAATCTTTGGAAAATTAGTAAAATTCATCCCTATAATACCCCTAACTTAAATAAACAAAAATAAATAAAGGAACAAAAAAATAAAAACCCCTTTTTTGGTATTTTTTCCTTCTTCTCCTTCTTTATTTTTTTGCATTTGTTATTTGTTCCTTTATATATTTCCGTTGATTATGTTAAAGAGTAAGGCCGCCATATTATTTAATTTTGACAGATTTTTGGATGGAAGCCAAATAAAAGGGCGAATTATGCTAAATTTTCGAGGTTGTGAACAAAAATCGAACAAAAAAGGTAAAGCGCATGTACTCTCTTTTTTTTTCCTAATTTTATCTTTACGGGCCATAGGAGACTTGAACTCAGGTGGTAAATCTTTGTTCTTTCTACCTATACTAAGCCTTGATTTCAGAAACTGACGATATATTGATAATAACGTGAATTTACACAGTAGAAATTATAAAAGACATTGGTTTTTTTTAAAACGCACTTGAATCTAAATTTGTGTTATTCAAGTTCCAATCATTGCTCTCAAATGAAAATATGGTCTAAAAAGTTGTTAAAATGTCACGTAGTAGTAGTTGTTCAAAGTTGTTAACATGGATTCCAAAGTCCAAACCGTAATTTATTGGGTGTGAAACTAGAAAGAAAACAAAGAACATCCTCGAGAATTTGTAACTTTTTGTCAGCATTAACGAGCGACCGTTTGATCTTTTCAAAAGCGGACAGCACAAAAACTCATGAAATGGAAGTTTATCAATGTGGCACATGCTTCAACTTAGAACCATAAAAATTTAGAAAAATTGACTATTTTTAGAATTTTCGTTTCCCAAATCCCCACTGCCATATATAAATATTTAACAGAATTGAATATTCTCAATTCTTGATTTTTTTTTATCACTTTGGCTCTCTTTTTAACAAATCAAGTCTTCTTCCTCAGGCTTCTGTTCGAAATTCGATTCTTTGTCATTAAACCCTGCCCACAATTCGGATCAGAGTTTACTTTCAGTTTAATTGCATTTGTACAAACTGTTTAAAGAAAGAAGAAGGGAAAGAAAATAAAGGGTTGAAACTTTTTGAGAATCTTGTTTGATCGAAGAATTTTATTTATCTCTTTGAAGAATTGGGATTTCTGATCGGTTACATGAAGAGATGTGGGCTGGTGTTGATGTTCCGTGGACTTCGAACATCTGCTTTCTGTATTGTTCTTCCGACAGTGAGAGGTAAATATTTGCATATGTGTTTTCTCTTTTAATTGATATATAATAATGTTTTTTGAGTGGATTATTAAATTTGATTCAAGCAATTTATGTACGAAAAAAATCTTAATTTGTAGAATCTGTTTTTTTATTTTATTTTTATGGGTCTTGGGGTCTTGGATTGTGAATTTGATGATCGCTAGGTAGTATTATGGGGGGCTACAGTGACTTTGATTGGGTGATACGTGATACAAGTTCAATTTTGAAAATGGTCATAACTCAAAAGCAGGTAGAATTCGAAGTTTAAATTCTGGTTCTGGGTTTAAAGTTCCTATTCTCAATTCTTCTTTGGGATTATTTAGCTGTATGATCGATGGGCTCAGGATCTACTACAGGACAAGAATTAAGCTTTTTATTTTATTTTATTTTATGGTTAAGTATTGCTGATTCTCCCTTACCAAACATGTCACTATTGGATAACACAAGTGAACTTTGTATATTTTGAGGTGTAATGGTTAGTTATCTCGACTGTAGTTCACTGATTGTAAGAAATTTTATGGGATGCTTGCAATTATGACTGCATATTATTTAATAAGGCATGATTTTTTATTTTTATTTTTAATTGTCTGTCTTATGGTTTTGAAGACTTGCTGGAGGGCTAAAACAGTATGAGGAATGAGAATCGGATTAAAGAAAAGAGGAAGGATTGGGTTAGTGTTAATTTGGGAAAGATAATGCAGTGTCTTTGGTCAGGGGAAAAATTACGTGGAGAAGAAATGGTCCGTTCTTCTGAATCTCTTGCAACCAAGGATTATACACACAGTGTTTATTCATCTCAAGCCGGAGAAGCTGAACGGAAACCTAACACTGGAAACATTGAAGAAGCTGAATCATCATTGCGTGAAAGCGGTTCTTTAAATTACGAGGTTGTTCCTCTAATTCTTCTAATGCCAACATAGCTTTGACGTTGCTTTTGTTAAATTTTCACTCTTTTGGATTTAATTTTGCTTTACTTTCTCATCCATGTATGTAATGATGTTTTTTACTAATCCGTTCTATCATCAAAGTTACAATACTTGTAGCATGGTTATGCTTAGTCTTTGAGTAAGAGCATATTTTACTATGCTTAAAACTTACTTTTCTTGAAACTTTCTAGAAAAGTAAGTTTTTGTCGCCAAAAAAATAATTTTGAACATCATGCCTGACAAGTAACGTAAAAGAAAGATTGACTTTTAAGCATAAGCAAACATGCCCTAATAATTTGTGCTGCAACAAAATGGTAGCTTGTTTAATACTATAACTGTGACTAAAAAGTCATCATATTCCAGGAAGCCAGAGCATTGTTAGGAAGGTACGAGTATCAGAAAGGGAACCTAGAAGCGGCCTTACATGTTTTTGAAGGGATAGACATTGCTGCAGTGACTCCAAAGATGAAAATTACTCTTTCTAAAATAGGAGAAACTCTTAAGAGGCGGTCCCAAAATTTTGCATTACCACCAATGTCGATACATGCTGTTAGCTTGCTGTTTGAAGCAATGTTTCTAAAAGCAAAATCATTACAGGCACTTGGGAGATATAAAGGTAGCTTACATGCTATTGGTGAATCATCCTTTTGTTTTTTGCAAATAAGTATGCGATGAACTATCTCATGTAAAAGCTTAAGCTCTAAGAGAGGGGACAAATTTATCTATTAAGCCCCTGTTTGTTTCCCATTATCTACCCAAAAGAATGAAAATTTTGACCGTTAAAGTCAAAGAAGTGGGTCCCACTGTCTCACAAAAAAGTCCAAAATTGCAGCTCTTTTACTGTTCCAATGGTAGAAAATTTCATTTTCATGAGAAACAAACAAGGCCTAAATGTTCGTCTTGAACGGTATCTTATGGTTACATGCTGGTTTAGTTTGTTATTATATTCTCTTTTTTCCTTCACTCTAATCGCCTAAATAATTAAATTCGTGAGCTTTATAAAGATTCTTTGGCGCTTATCAGGCTTCTAATGGTCTTTGTTTTGAATAATATAAAATGTAATACTTAATGCAGAGTAATTCCATTAAGGCAGTTAATGACTGTTAGAGCCATCTATATAAACAACATCTGAAGATTCTCAGAGCATTTTAATTATGTCTACTACTTACAAATTACAGTTTGTGATTAACAAGAAAGTAACTGTAACATGGACTTCTGCTTATCAGAATTTCAGAAAGTTCCAATATCTGCATTTCTTGCTAGTTGCTAATTCCTCTTCATTTTTTTTTCCTTTTTATATTTTATAAGGAAAGGGAAAAGGTGCTGGATAACGAGAGTGTAAACTATTTATGTCATTGATGAATTGACAAATTGTGAATGGTTTTCTGATTTATGATTTCATCATCTTTGCAGAAGCTGCTCAATCATGTACAGTTATCCTGGACATTGTTGAATCTTCATTACCAGCAGGCTTGCCTGAAAACTTTGGCGGTGACTGTAAATTGCAGGAAACTATAAACGAAGCTGTAGAGGTGCTTCCAGGATTATGGAAACTTGCTGATTGTCCCAGTGAAGCTATTTTGTCTTACCGTCGGGCCCTTCTACATCAATGGAACCTTGATGCACAAACTACAACTAAGATACAAAAAGAGTTTGCTATTTTTCTTCTGTACAGTGGAGATGAAGCAAATCCCCCTAGTCTGCAATCCCAAATGGACCGTGCATTTGTACCTAGAAACAATACTGAGGAAGCTATTCTTCTTTTGATAATTCTTTTGAGGAAAGTTACCCTCAAGAGAATTGAGTGGGATCCATCAATTTTGGATCACCTTTCCTATGCATTATCTATATCAGGTGGACTAAGGGCTTTAGCTAATCAAGTGGAAGAATTACGGCCTGGGGTTATAGATCGGAAAGAAAGGTATCACATCTTAGCTCTCTGTTTTCATGGAGAAGGTGATGACTTATCTGCTTTGAATTTATGGCGAAAGATGTTAAAAGGTCACGAGGATCCTACATGTGTTCCATCTTTACTATTTGCTTCAAAGATATGTGGGGAGAGCACGAAATGTGCAAAAGATGGAATTTCTTATGCTGGCAGTGCAATTGAGAGCTTGCATGGAAAATGCCATCAACTAGTAGGTGTTGCCAATTGCATGCTAGGCAAATCACTTTCAGCATATTCTAGATCATGCGTACAAGATAGTGAGAGGGTTAAAAGACAATCTGAGGCTCTCAAGTCCTTGGAAATTGCTGGGACAATGACAAGAATGAGCGACCCTGGTATCATTTACCACCTTTGCTTAGAAAATGCCGAGCAAAGGAAGTTGGATACGGCATTTCATTATGTAAAGTGTTTGCTTAAATTGGAAGGCGGTTTTAACCTTAAAGGATGGATACTGTTGTCTCGAATATTATCTGCCCAGAAACGTTTTCTTGATGCTGAAACCATCATTAATGCAGCTCTAGATCAGACTGGAAAATGGGATCAGGGAGAATTGCTGCAAACTAAGGCTAAACTCCAAATTGCACAGGATCTAGTGAAGGAGGCCATAGAAACATATACACAGCTTCTTGCTGTTCTTCAGGTTCAGAGGAAAAGTTTTGGTTTAGGGAAGAAGCAAAAGGTGCGTTTGTCACTTACTTGTTAGACAAATATATATCACATCCTTGCAACTGATGATGAAAGTTATTTAGTTGCATTTGAAATGGTTGTTCAAGGTCTATAAATGAATCCAGTGACTCTTAGATGTCTTGTTGCTTGGTTGGTTAAAAACCTATTTGTTAAAAAAGAGGATGGTTTTACCATGTGTATGGAGAATGGTTGAAGCGCTTAAACTACTTGGATTGAAATTATAAGAATGGTCGAAGCACTTAAAATTTGACAGAGAACTTGTGCTGAAATTTAGTTGAATTTGTATTCATATCCATACGTTGCGAATAAGTTAACTTGAGTTGAACACCTACGAATCCTGTAGATGTACATCAACTAAATCATCTGGTTTGCTTAAAATAAATATGATAACGTAAATATATACATGTAAATAGGATTCAAGTACCTATTATGTATCTATTTAATATAAAATCATAAAGTCTGAGAATTTATGTACACAAAATATTTAAGTATAACTTTTTATGCATAGTTAGAATATTACATATATACAGGATCTAATTGTACCATGTCATACCAATAAAAAGCCTGTCAAAGAAATTCTCTGTCACACTTCATTCTCACAATTTACCAACGACACCTCCATATACCCGTCAAAATAAGACAATAAAATAATTATCTGCGACTGGCTTTCTGCAGAAGGTTTTCCATGTCAGCATGTTTGCAATAGTTTGAATCCATGTTGATTATCAAATGGAAGAAGATTGTTGCAAAAATATTTTCAAAATTGATGGTTCCAGGATAATATGAACTGCTTCTTTCCTTAGGATGATTTGTTGTTGTTTTGTTGTTATTGTTGTTGTTGTTGTTGTTAGACTGAGTTATTATTATTGTTGTTGTTGTTGTTGTTAGACTGAAGTGCCATTTTTTCTATGTAATTGACAGGAAAACAAAAACCACCAAAATAATTTAGAGATGGAAACATGGCACGATCTGGCTTCCATCTACATAAGATTGTCCCAGTGGCGTGATGTTGAGATCTGTCTTTCTAAATCTGAGGCCATTAGTTCTTTTTCTGCTTCTCGATGGCATACAGCTGGTAGGATCATATAATACTCACTTTTCTTTATATCATTTCCTTTTCCCATCTTTTCTACCATTCTTTTTTCCGTTTCATTGTAAAGAAAAGCTCAAAGACGAAAAAAGAAAAAGTAAAAAAGAGAGATCCAAATTGGTCTTTTCAGTTTTGTATGAACGCATTTATGCTTAATCATTTATATGAAAACCAAGCGCAATGGTATCTGAGAGTATAGTTTGTTGGGCTAGTTAATTGTTTCAATATCTATTTAATATTTCAAAAGTAATCAAATGATACCAATTATAGTGGATAAGAGTAATAAGAAAACTTTTATCTCAGGCAATCGACAAATTTTGATAGGAAAGGAGAGAATCTGGGGATAATCAGGGGAGCAAACTAAGGTAGTAACTCACTAACTTGACCATGATTCTTAAGAGGTTCTGTTGAAAGAATCCAGTTATTCTAGAGAGCCAAGAAACTGAATGAAATACAAGAATTTATTACCAGGCTTTTAGTACAATATCTGATTGTAGGGTGCTCGAGGAGAAAATCACTTTTTTCAGACTGATCACTGAGGATCAGATTTATTATCCTATAAACGAGTGGGGTCTGTCAGGAAGTCTAGTGTCTCATGATTGGAGAGACTTTTTGACGAGGCAGAGGACCAACAATGGATAGAGAAAAGGCCCTCGATCTAAATGGTTTGACGGTGGCATTTGCTTGGTCTTGTTGGGATGATGTTGATAATTACTTGATATAGGTTTCTTTTCGCAAACTATTATACGGCTAAGAACATCAATTCGACTTTTCTCATTATTGTTACGGGTAAGGGAGGTTAGAAAGATCCCGTCTGCATGATTTTTTGTATTGTCTAGTACGATATAATACTATGTTCAAACATTAACTTATAGGTGGCAAGTTTTAGATGCCGCCTGAATTTCTGATGTCCCATCCCCCTTTTTTGTTCACGTGCTTGCATTCATGATTGGTTGAGTGAACTTCTTCATTTCGGTCGCTATATGCAGGTTTGCTTCACGAAGCAAAGGGACACGACAAAGAAGCACTGAAGGCATTTATGCGAGCTCTTGATGTTGATCCAATGCACGTTCCAAGTCTAGTCTGCAAGGCAGTGGTTCTCAGACGGATCGATAGCCAGTCTTCTGCAATTGTCAGGAGCCTTCTGACAGAAGCACTTAGACTCGACAGAATGAATGCTTCCGCATGGTATAATCTTGGCCTACTTTACAAGGAGGAGGGTGGGGCATTGGCACTGGAAGCCGCGGAATGTTTTGAGGCTGCTGCACTCCTCGAAGAGACGGAACCTGTACAGCCTTTCAGACGATGAGCTATTTTTGTAAATTTCTCGTACTTTTGATAAATTATAGTATATATAACCAAGTCTTGACTGATGAAAATATTACGGAAGTATGATTTTTTCTTGAATCTTGTCTTGGTTTTATGCTGCATGTGTGCTGAAAAGTATGAAAGCTTCCATTCTTGAAAGGAACCTGTTCAGTGTGTTGTTGAAAACAATTATGCATAATTTCTTGAAGGCATGTTGTGAACTATATATTTCGTTCTTTGCTGGTGATTACTCGATAAAATCTTATCTCATATATTTAGAGAGTCGATGAGATGAAGAGGGATATTGTGACACCATGAGTAAAGACTCGAAAAACGTATAAAACTTTTTGCAATTTTACTGAATCCTTGTTATTTACTTCTTTTTAGTTCAAAGGATTTGAATCTGCTTTCTTCAGTACGAACATGTTTCCTCCATAACTGTAGTTGGGTTGAATACTAGTGAAATATGTATTATTTTGAGTGATTGAAGTCAAATCAAATCACGCGGAGGATCACGAATTCTACGACTATCGGTTGTGAAGATCGTGTGGGACCCTTTGAGTAATTTATATTATGCTTTCATATTTGACAATTACTTGCTCTGATTTTTCAAAAAATTATTTTTTAAATTCATTTCAAATCACACGTTCTCGTAATATAATAATTTTACAAGTAAATTTAAATTTTTTACTCTTCAATCACCCATTCCTAAATAAAAAAAAAAAATCTCAATATCAAAATCTATTAACCCAAAAATAGGGTTCAAACGAACCCTTAATCGAATATAAGCAAATCTTCAACCTTAAATTATAACCAAGGTTTTCAATTTTGTAGTCCATGGTTCTCTCCATTCATACGTGAATGTGTATACATTTTTAAGAACAAATAAAATCAAATTGCCCCCTAGATATACATTTTTCAGAACGAATAAATGTAAATAATAATGCCGCTGGTACGTAATAAAGTTATATAATGATTTACATACAGTCAAAAAAGAGTGAAATTTTTTTGTTTTATTTGATTGAAAAAAGTCTAATTAAATCATATTTTACTATATCATGTGTTTCTAAACCATCGTGTAAATTATTACGTACACATACAATCGAAAAATGATTTTGTTATATGTACATAAATGTGCACATAGTGTATTGCATAATGTTACATGACACTCTATTATTTGCCGTTTAAAACATCATCAATTTTTTTCTTTCAACATTTTTCCTTCACGTCATTTTATGTAATTCCCTACTGTACATCATAGAAATACAGTCTACATAACAAAATAATTGAAAAACATTCATTAAAATTTAAAAGTTGTAATTCCCTACTGTACATCATAGAAATACAGTCTACATAACAAAATAATTGAAAAACATTCATTAAAATTTAAAAGTAGAGACAACCTTGAAATCTGCACCTTTCCAAACATGAACTATATCCATCAAAGAATGATAATCACTGCACATTTCACATTTATCTTCTTCCAAGACAGATAGATACACACTCCTCCATAGCGCTCACTACACGAAAAAGGGCAAGCCCTCCGACAACGACAAGTAAAATAAATTTGTCTGGTTGTCCAAGAATTCTAGAGAGAGAAAATCAAACATTTGACAGATTTTCTTGTCTGACCAAAATATATTCTCAATTTATTGTCCCCCTCTAATTCTTGAGCGTCCCTTCTCAAAATTTTTAGCTGTAGTGTAATGGAGAGTGGTAAGAGAGAAGAAGCAGGGCCAAGTGCTTCAGTGAGAGAAGAGAAAAAACAAGAAAATGAAGAGGGTTTTGATTACGAGGAAGAGGGTTTTGACGAAATCGATCAAGAAAATAAAAGGGCTTTTGAGAATTTTAATCCTGGTCCTCTTCTTCCTCTCAAAGAACAGATTGAAAAGGACAAGGTTTTTATTCTTCTTACCCTTTCTAGTTTCTAAAGCTCTAGCCTCTAGGGTTTATCAATTTTTAAATTTTCTTTTTCTTTTTGCTTTTAGATTTCTCTGCAGAATCTTAGACTTGTTTGAATGTAGTTATCTATGAGAATTTTGATTTTGTCGTGCTTTCGTTGAAAAATTGAATCTTGTGTACTTGTGATGGATGTGTTGAAGATAATAAATAAATAAATGCATCTGTCACCGGAAGTTTATGCTTTTAGAGGAGGTGTTTCAACAACATTTTTTTGGGTTTGAAGATGAAATTCGTTAGTTAAATTGGAGCAACATGTATGAAACTGTAAAATAAATGTAATTCTTGAACAACATTTATAGTTCTTGCTGATTATCTCATGACTACCAAGAAATCGGCATCTATATCTCGTTAATTCGCTCACAACACTGAGATTTGAACTCATTCACATAGAATACGGATTGCTTGTGAATTCGCATTTTCATAAATGATGCCCTGCATCATTTGTGCTTTAACTTATTAGAAGTAACCTGGATTTTAACCCTTCTAGTGGTGTTAATTGTATATTCCTATTAATTGAGTATTTATTAATTGGTGTTATTCAGAATAATTGAGATCTTCCGAATACTATCCAACTAATTTTTTATATTGTCCTCAGGAGGATGAAAGCTTAAGAAGATGGAAGGAGAAGCTTCTTGGCTGCCTCGAAAGTGATTTAAATGGTTCGTTTTAAGAATCGCTGCTCCACGATATTGCACCCTTCACTGTATATATTCATCTTGCTTTTTCAGTAGTAACTGTGTCTAATTTGTTAGGACAAATGGAGCCTGAGGTTAAATTTCAATCAATTGGGATTATATCCTCTGATTTTGGGGAGCTCATTAGTCCCTTGCCTATTGCTGATGACCAGAGGAAACGTGTACTTTTTAGTCTCAGAGAGGGCTCTGATTACCGCCTTAAGCTAACATTCACGGTTCTTCACAACATCGTGTCTGGCCTGGCTTACACGAATACAGTTTGGAAGTCTGGACTTCAAGGTTCGGAATGGGCCTTTTTTTTAAACATTATATATGCTTACATTACCTATTGCTTGCATATTTACTTATCAAGAAATTATATATCGGGAATGACAGAGAATAATTTGGATGTACGATGTGTAGCTTTGAAAACCGACTTTTAGTTGTTTACTTAATTCTGCTTGCCCGATGACTAAATGATCACAGTTTAGGAGAAGAATGTTAACGGAAGGGGATAAAAAGATGAAATTATGGGCATTCGCTTGGCCTATTGGTCACACATTTTGGGACTCTACTTGCTAGTCTTTACATTAATAAGATCTGTTTCGTTAGACATTACAAATCTGAATTCTCATCACTCGCTTCACTTTGAGTTCGAAGTTATATCCATTGTCCGAGTAGAGTGGAAAATATTTTAATAAAGGCACGTTACTTGCTAATCGTTAAAAAGTATTTTCTGTTTGAATGGTACAATAAGCTGATGGAGAAGTCTAGTAATATATGGAAAAAGAAGTTGCAACATTTTCTAAGCTCGTTCTCTTTCAAGCCATAAATATACGTAGGTAGGCCGACATTTAGACTACATTTAGACTACTTTTCACTTTGCTAATCTATTATTTCCTTTGATTTTTCTTTGTAGTTGATCAAAGCAAAGGTATGTTGGGCACTTTTGCTCCTCAGCGAGAACCATACGTACACACCTTAGAGGAGGAGACGACTCCATCTGGGGTGCTTGCAAGAGGAATATATATGGCTAAGCTTAAGGTGCGTGCTGTTGCAATGTGACGTGTGTGACTTTTTTTAGCCTAGTAATTTAGTCATTTTGGTTTTGCATCAATTTAATTTACAACACACAAATTAGGCGAATTCTTTAGGGCAATGATATATAACCGTGATCCTAGTGGTAGTGACATTTAACAATCAGATACTATGTGGGGGCACCCTTTTTCGCTGAATCGAATGTTTAACAACTCTCTCTAAGGAACTCGACTGGATCTGTTCGGCCAATAGAAAAATAGTTTGAATTTGCTGAGGCTGCTTCAATGGCAGTGACACTTCAAAAAAGTCTCGAGTTCTCGACAAATAGACAACCAATTCACGTTATATCATGTTTTGCTATACTTTAGAAGTTACTCTTTAACTTTTCTTGGATTCTCAGTACAAATCTCGCTTTTCTCGTTACTTTTTCTTGAGCTTAGCTGAACATGCCGCTTATGGTTTTGTTTTCTGGTATGACTTCGTGCAGTTTGAAGACGATGACAAAAGATGCCATATGGAGCTCGATTATTCCTTTGAGATACGAAAGAGCAGTTAAAATTTAGTCATTGTTTCGTTCATTTGTTAGAACGTTATCGAGCCTTTTGTCTTACTGTCGAACAAGAGGAGGAGATTTTTCTTTTTTATTTATTTTTTCTCAGTATTATTGTGTTTCTTTTATGTCAGTCGACCTAAGCCATGGTTATAGATCTGGTTTTTGAGATGAACTTTGTAAATTTCATTTAACTTAATACTGTGGGAATACATTGTTCTAAGTTTGTCACAAAAGAGAAAAGCCTTGACCAAATTGGTAGAAAGTCGAAAACGAAGTTCAGAAGTCTATTTGTATTCACGGCTTGGTTCGTTTTGGTATATGGATTCTCGAGCTATAGAAAAGATCTATTTGAACTCGACTAAACTCAACTATCTCCGTTAGAGGTCGAGGCTAGTCGAGTAAAGAGGTCACTAGTGGTGCGATGGAGGTGGAGGTGTGCGTCACGGTGCAGTGGTGGTGTTTTTGACAACGATGTTGTGTGCGTTTTCGTTACAGTGGTCGTGGGTGGGATGATATGGACGTGGGTGTCTGTGACTAATTATTTGGTTGATGGTCACCAATAATTGGTTAATTTTTGACAAATTAATAATTTATGGCCTAAAAATTGTGACTGTGACTCACAATTTATTAAGTTATAACTGAATTGTGACCAATAAAAGTTTTCATTTTGTGATTGATAATCTGTGATCTATAAAATTTTTAATTCGTGATCGAGAAATAATCTGTGACATGAAATTATTGATCAAAAAAGAATATGTGACCTAAAAAATTGTTAATTTGTGATCGATGAACAAATTGTGACTTATAAAATTTTTGAATTGTGACGTTAAAATAATTTGTGATATATAAAATTTGTGATTTGTGACCAATGAATAATACGTGATTTACTAATTTTATAAATTTGTGATCGATGAAAAAATTGTAACATATAAAATTGTCGATTTGTCATTATGAAATAATTTGTGATCTATAAAATTTTTTATTGTGATCGAAAACTAATTTGAACCAATTAATTTATAATTTGTGACTAAAATATATAGAATTGTGATCTTAATATATTTAATTAATAAAATATATGTTTAATTAATTAATTAATTTATAAATAAAATTTAAAAATATTTGAAATTTGAAATTTGAAATTTAAGTTCTTAAATTTGAAATTTGTAAAACTAAACATCTTAGTTACGTATTGTTGCCAATTTTTGTTGGGCCTTTATATAATTGAAGCCCACGATGGAATTAATAAGTATAATTCACCCAATCCCCTCAAACTATTAATCAATTGCACACTACCCCCTTCAAATACTAGTAATCCCAACTAACTCCTTCAAACAATCAAAAACTTATATCGACCACAACAAAGAGGTGGTCTAAGTTCAGGTTTAAGGAGTCCATGTTATGGACAAATTGACATGGGTCGAAAATTAGAAATCAAAATTTTAAATATGAGAAAATCCTCTACCTCACCTAATAATCATATATATACAAGTAGTCATAACATCTAATTCTTATATCACATAAAAAGAGAACCTTTAATCATTCAGTTTACGGTTCAAGAACTTTTATTCTAAAGTTTGATAGATACATGAGAGATGATATCGTACATGTCATGTCAAAATTATTTAAAGAACAATGCTATTACGTTTTGATCTGTCATGTCAATTTTGTAAACAAAGATCCATTAGAGGTTTTCGATAGTTTAGAAGAACCAATTAAGTTAATTGATTATTAGTTTCAAAAAAATAAAAATAAAAGTAAGATAATTGATATTTGAGGGTTAAAATGTTTATTAGAAATAGTTGAAGGACTAAAATATAATTAAATAGTCATCTTCATCCCCAAATCAAAATTAACCTACCACTACGTCGGATCCCAAATCACTCGCCCTCTCTGCTCACAAATATTTCCTACAAGCTTCAATTTGCTTTAATTTTATCCAGACCTGGGCCCAAAAGAAACCCTATTGAACACCAAATTTCTGCTCCTCTCTCACCGCGAGAAGCTTCACCTCTTGGCTCCACCACCCTCAGCCACTGCACTTCAAATTGTAGGTCCTTGTTATGTTAAAATCAATTTCCGTCTTTAATTATATATTACCATCGACGTTTGTGTTGGGATCCATGTCAAATTAAACCCTGATTTCATCTTCTTTTTACCTCTTTATCAATATTTTTATAAAATTTTAAAGCTGTCTTTATTATTTGGGCATTCAAGTAGAGCGATTGATTCTCCGTGTTTAAGATAAAATTAGTTCAGAGTTCAACACGAGCAGCACTGAGTACTGCTATACAAGTTAGTTTTGTTCTATGTTTTAGCCTTTTGATGGAATTTATAGGTAATCTTGGAGATTTCTATTTATAATAGTTATGAGCTTGGAATACTAATATACAAGTTGTTTTTTTTTCTATGTTTTAGCCTTTTTGATGGAATTTATAGGTAATCTTGGAGATTTCTATTTATAATAGTTATGAGCTTGGAATACTAATATACAAGTTTTTTTGTTCTATGTTTTAGCCTTTTTGATGGAATTTATAGGTAATCTTGGAGATTTCTATTTATAAAATAGTAATGAGCTTGGAATACTGAGCCAAAGTTCCTTTTGTAATTTTGCAGATTTCCCTTAAAAGTTCAAAGTGCAAACTCTAAGTCTCCTACCTTCACTGCAGTTTCTGCTCTTCGTGGATTCACCCAATTTGGCTCATTTCAGGTACTTCGCTATTCACAACTTGTTTGAGTTTAATTCTAGATGTATTTTATGCTGTAAAATATATTAATTTTGTTTGTACCTTGACTTTTTTTAAAAAATAAAATAAAAATAAAATCACCTTCAACATATTGTAGGTCTGCCCCAGGTTTTTAGTATTCTATTTACAAGAAACAATGGCTCAGAGGTATCACAGTGACTCGAGTGACAGGAGCTCAGATTCTGATGAAAAAAGAGGAAATAGGTATCGGGATCGGGGAAGTTTGGATGCAGAGAAGGAAAGAGAAAGGAGGAGGAGAAGGGAAAAGGAGCGGGATACAGACAGTGACAACGAGGTTGAAAGAGAATCGAAAAGAAGAAGAGAAAGATTTGAGGATGAAAAGCATGAAAGGGAGGGAGGGAAGAAAAGGGAGGAGAAGGAGAATTATATAAATAGGGATAGGAATTTGGGTCGGGATTTCGAAAGAGATGATAGGAGGGGGAAACATGGGCAAGGGGATGACAACAAGGAGAATGTTCATAGGAGTAGAAAAGATGACAGGGTTAGAGAGAGGAAATCACGTGACTATGAGTGGGATGATGAGGATGATAGAAGAGGCGATAAAAATGGTGAACGGCGAAGGAGTAGGGAGGATAATAGTAATGAAGATGATGATAAGAGAGAGTACAGGAGGAGAGAAGTGGAGGACGGTTATCAAGAAAGGGATCGTAAACAAGATTCACATAGGGATGTGGAGGGTGATAGGAGGGATAGAAGGGGAAGAAGTGGACATAGAAGTGAGGACAACGATGTGAATGGGCAATATAGGGGTAGGGAGCAACGTCATAATGAGGACGATTCACAGCTGGATAATAGGAAAGAGCAGCGAAGGAATAGAGAAAGAGAAAGGGAGAGAAGGCGCAACAAGGATGGTGATAATGATAGGAGAAGAGAAGAGAGGAATGAGAGTAAAGAGGAGGATAGGAATTTGAGTAAGAAACAGGGAGATACGAAGGCACACGAGGATATAAAGGTGCAAAAGCCTGAGGCTAATTCGGCTACTGGCATGCCTATGAATTTGGGAAGGAGTGGGGGAGTTTATATTCCGCCATTTAAATTGGCCAGAATGTTGAAGGAAATTGATGATAAGAGCAGTGTTGATTATCAGAGAATGACATGGGATGCATTGAGAAAGAGTATTAATGGGTTGGTGAACAAGGTGAATGCAATCAACATTAAAAATATTATTCCAGAGTTGTTTGCTGAGAATCTGATACGTGGGAGGGGTCTGTTTTGTCGGTCGTGTATGAAGTCACAAATGGCTTCTCCAGGTTTCACGGATGTCTTTGCCGCTTTGGTTGCTGTAGTCAATACCAAGTTCCCTGAAGTTGGTGACCTTTTATTGAGGAGAATTACTTTGCAGTATCAGAGGGCTTACAAGCGGAATGATAAAGTTTGTACATTTGCTTTCTTTTACTATACTCATTACTTGTTTCTAGTCTTTTAGCAATGTTTTGTTATCTGTTGTTTACTACCAGTTGATGCTGATACATTTTCGCAGCCACAATTACTTGCTGCGGTCAAATTTATTGCCCACCTGGTGAATCAGCAAATAGTTCATGAACTGATTGCTCTTGAGCTGCTCACATCTCTGCTGGAGAAACCTACAGATGATAGTGTTGAAGTGGCAGTTGGCTTTGTCACCGAATGTGGATCCATGCTTCAGGACCTAAGCCCTCGAGGATTGCATGGTGAGTACATATCCTTCTCAGTTGTTCTATGCAATAATCTCTCCAGCTTTGACACTTCTTGGGTTTTTTCCTTAAACAGGTATTTTTGAGCGATTTCGTGGGATTCTTCATGAAGGAGAAATAGATAAAAGGGTTCAATTCTTAATCGAAGGTCTTTTTGCATTACGGAAAGCAAAGTTTCAAGTGAGCTTTCATTCACATTGATATAGCTTGGAGTCGCAGTATCTTTATTCTAATTTACTTGAAATAATGTTAGATTCGATATTTCACACAATATAATGCTTTCTGAATGCACCATATGCAGGGATACCCAGCTGTTCGTCCAGAATTGGATCTAGTGGAGCAGGAAGACCAATTAACACACGAAGTTTCCCTTTTAGACGAGATAGATCCTGAGATTTCTTTAGGTATATTTTCACAATGCTGGCTCTTATTAGATGCTGCTACCTTTCAAGTTCATGTATGGGGAACTTACATATTTTATGCTCCTCTATTCAGATGTTTTCAAGCCGGATCCCCTGTTCCTAGAAAACGAAAAGAAATATGAAGAACTCAAGAAGCAAATACTCGGTGAAGAAACTGAGGACGAAGCAGATTCAGAAGGAGAATCGGGAGATGAAGAAGAAGAAGATGATGATGATGAAACTGATGAAGAGGATGAAGAACAGATGAAAATAAAGGATGAGACAGAGACAAATTTGGTCAATCTTAGAAGAACTATCTACTTGACAATTATGTCTAGTGTTGATTTTGAAGAAGCAGGACATAAACTGCTAAAAATCAAACTAGAGCCTGGGCAGGAGGTCGGTATTATGATCTCACATCATTATTTTTAGTACTCTTCTTGGATAAATTATTTAAGTCATGCTATCTATTGATTTGTTGAAGAATTGTATTATATGTTTGAAGCACCAAGTGTAGGGGCACGTGCACATTGTTTCTTGCCATTTCTATCAGAGATAATGTGGACTATTATAGAGAAGAACCATGTCTTGTTAAAAATTATAGAAACCTCCCCCTAAGTTTGTTTTTCAAAACAATTCCCCTTTTTACTCAAACAATTTTTTTTGTTTCTTATTTTACCCTTCTATATTTGCGTTAAATTTAAAATTATTATTGGACTTATTTAAACTATATTCCTTTTACTCTTTTTCTCATTTCTTGAAAGAAATATTGTTATAAANAAATAATAATATTAAAAAAAAAATTCTATTATCGTAATTACAAAAAACACACTCAAAGTTTGGATTATTTTTCTTTTCCTTTTTCTAGTCAACTTTTTCTTTTAAATGAAAAAGTTAATTTTTCAAAAATATAAATGAGTTGTAACCATTTTTGCATTAAAAAGATGACCTTTCTTCAAGCTAGAAGATAATTTCCTTATCTGAATTAAAATAAGAAAAAAATATTGTTTCAAATTTATCCCCAGTTTGACACCCATTTTGTTTGAAAAATAATTTGTGGAATAGTGATTGATGGAAGATTGTGTGGTTAAAAAGTAAGGAGAATTTTTTAGTTTATGTGTAATATTATTTTATTAATAGAATATGTGGTTGAAATGAAGAAAGAGATATTGAATGAGAAAAAAATGGGTGTCAAACTGATCTTTAATATAAAGACAACAGTATACTAGGAAAGTTATATTTTTGCCTAGAGGGGAGGACTCAACAGTTTTTGAAAAGACACGGTGTCCCTGTAATAGTTATACCTTGGGGGGTGGCGGATCTTTGATATTATCTCTTTCTATTAGTATTTTGTATGATGAGTGAATCAATATTTCTTTTTTTAATCCAGGATACTATCTTAGTGAGCATCAGAAGTTCCTGAATTTGGGTTCAGGTTTAGGTTAGGTGCGCACATGGATTTACATAAATCACCACAGAGTTAAATGATTTACCTTGCCTTGTATGATTTTTTTTTTTCAAAACAATGCATTTTGTCAATTTTACAGATATTTGGTTGCAGCCTAAGAATAATTAATCTTGGAATAGCATTTCTTCTCTTGTATATCTTAGATTCTCCCGGCTATTGAATGGATGAACAGAGTTTCAAGTGTTTTTTTTTTTTCGTCAAGTATAAAATGTGCCTTTGTGATATTTCTTAAATTGTTTAGTATTTAATTATGGAGTCATTTTCTGATTGGTGCCAATTAATTTTTGACGTTGCATTGATTATTTTCTGAATAACTCTGTTTGTGCTTGCTTTAATCTGTACAGATGGAATTGTGCATTATGTTGTTGGAGTGTTGCAGTCAGGAGAGGACTTACCTCCGGTACTATGGACTTCTCGGGCAGCGCTTTTGTATGATCAACAAAATTCATCAAGAGAACTTTGAGACGTGTTTTGTTCAGCAGTATTCCATGATTCACCGGTTGGAGACTAATAAACTACGGAACGTGGCAAAGTTTTTTGCCCATTTACTTGGCACATATGCATTGCCTTGGCATGTTTTGGCCTATATACGGCTAACTGAAGAAGATACAACCTCATCTTCCCGCATTTTTATTAAAATTCTCTTCCAGGTACTGATTAGCATTTTCTGAATTTATTAGTCTTATATCTGTCTTCCATTTTACTTTATGGACTGAATGACATTCTAAATGCTGTCTATAGTTCTTAATGCTTTCCCCATCGAGCAGGCTTCTGATTTTTTCTGTTTATTGGCCAAGTTTGGAAATGAAGTTAATTGTTTTGACAGCTATGTAAGAGTTACTACCAAAAGGGAAAAAAAAGTAACATAAAGAAGAAGTTACTTGGAAGTAGCTCTTACATCTTTTTTAAGCATAGCCAAACATGCTCTCTCTATATTAGGTGGATTGTATCGAAACAGAGCATTTACTGGCTATCCACTTATTTTTTGATGTATGCATCTCTTTATTATTGTGGTTTTAGCTTACTTTTACTCATTCCTCTATTGAGATGTTGCTGAACTTGAACGATGAATGGTTTCCGTTGCAGGAATTGTCTGAGCACCTTGGAATCCGATTACTCAATGAGCGTCTTAGCGATCCTACCATGCAAGACTCTTTCGAATCTATTTTCCCAAAAGACAATCCGAAAAACACGAGGTTTGCCATCAACTTCTTTACATCCATCGGTCTTGGTGGAATCACAGAAAACCTGAGGGAATATCTCAAGAATATGCCTCGCCTTATTATGCAACAACAGAAACCAGTCTCTGAGTCGGACGATGAGTCGGGTAGTTCTAGTTCTGACTCTGATGCATCTGGATCCGAGTCTAAATCAGGATCATCTAGCTCCGAATCAAGTGACAGTGAAAGTGAGACTGACAGTGATGATAAGCGGAGAAAGAAGAGGAGAAGAAATTAAACGATGATCATCTAGTTTTTTTCCTGGTTTGTTGTCTTCGATTTTGATTTGAATTAGGGGTCTTTTTTTGTTTAAACAAAAGAGTTCAAATAGGATTTGAATTGGAATCCTAACCCTATTTGGACTCGAACAAATTGCAATGAATTCAACTGTTTCGATCATGTATATCGTGATTTTAGAATATTGCATTGAGGGCCAAGAACACAAGTCGTGATTTAGAGAAGAAATCAAAGAACGAGCATTGATGGAGAGCGATGAATCAATGGCGCAATCAATAATGAAGGCGATCGTGTTTGCATTCAGGGGGGGTGCGATTCTATGGACGGTCAAGATTAGCAACACGAGTCGAGGTCATGGGAAGAAATTACACGGAGTTGAATTGGCTTCGCATGTGATCATCGATGTACTTTTGATAGCAAGTGCGATGTCTTTGCTGTTTATGTCAGCAGTGTATTCTATAAATGCACACCTAGAAATTAAATCAAGAAGACTAATATTGGAAGAAGAACGCCCATTATTGGTGTAGTTACGACTGTTTAATTTGTTTGATTATTCTGCTTGTTTCATTAGTTGTGTGATTGATAAATAATTATTTAAAGTTCTCGAGTTAATATTAATTCCGGTAATTAGAATATTGGTTGTTCTGTATGTATATTACAACCTACAAATTTTTATACCAACAAATGATGTGACGATATGAATTAAAATTGGGGTATTTTCACGAATTTCTACAATCAAGGGTGTGAGTTGAAAAGTATTCAATTTTTAAATTTAATACTAAACTGTCTATTATGCACTTAATGAAAAAAAAAGGACATTTGAATTTCTATGTATTCTCGACATTTTAAAATGTCATTCTTGATATTTGAATTTCGTTTTATATTTCAATAATACACACGTCAAATCACAATATTAAATATTCTCGACATTTTAAAACATCATTCTCGACATGTTAAATGTCCAGAATGACATTCCATTCCAAACATGACATTTCTTTACACTTGAAATGTCGACGACATTTCTGTGTCAATGCAAAAAATAGCATTAATTGTAATTTGACATCTTGTCATTTGCAATAAATGGAGCAGGTTATGTGTCAAGATTTCATCAGCCAATATTTTTTTTGCAAAAATGTTCATTTTATTATCCTTGAATGAAATCATAAATTGTTGATCATGAGTATTTTGGTCTAAAATATACCAAAATTGTCATTTTTACAAGAATTTTTGAAAGTTGTCATTTTTGCAAGTGGCTAGAGGAAAGTGGACATTTCTTACAATTTCCACATTAAAATTTCATCAATAAAATAAACTGTAATATATATTAAAATAGGGATTAAACTATATGTACTACAAAATGTACTACATGAATTACTACATCGCCAAGTGGCGGCACCCTATTGGAGGGTGCCGACCCTCCAATAGGGCGCCGCCACTTGGCGATGTAGTACCCTCCAATAGGGCGCCGCCACTTAGCGATGTAGTAAACCATGTAGTACATGTAGCATAGTCCTTAAAATAGTTTCTTAACTTTCATTTTGTTCCAACACAGTCATTATTTCAATCCCTTCAATTTTACTATGAACAGGGAAGTCACAATTTTCCTTCACCATTCTTATACATCTATTTCACACTAGTTAAAATTTTAGTAAAATTATTTTGTTCTTCTACGTTATATTTCAATATTATTTTTATTAAATTCATTCATTGAAATTCTATATACTCTGCCAATCAAAGTAATTTTGACAAAGAAAAGCGTGTGTGTTCTCCACGGAGTCTCCTGATGTCGTCTCCTCTGGTAACGTGAACGATAATACTGCAATTCTCCCAACTCTCATTTTTGCATAGACAGGAATTGTAACGGGTTTTGCTATGAAGATCTGAATTTCATGATTGACTCAAATTCGAAGACTGTGGTCTATTTAGTTAATTGGATATTATCATGGGCTACGGATTAAGAATTGAATTTATTTATTTTTGTGAAAAAAAACCATATTTTCTCAATGTGACCTGTAATTGAAATTTGATTAGGTTCTGAAAATAATGTGAATCTAAAATAAGAGAGGGTGAATAAAAAATAAGATTTTATTTGGTTTTTATTTTTATCTATTTAAGTAATTTATATAATGTTACAAATGTAATGTAGTTTTTTTTTTAAGTGAATATATTGTTGACCTCGTTTTTCGCACCATTAACGTGGACATAGATATCGAGTTCACTTGCCTTCTCTCAAACTAATTCCAATACGTGTGGACAAATAATCGATAATATCTCGAATTTGAACGTGTGAAAAACTTTATAACACTAGACAAATATGTTCAGGCCCCGACAAAATGAGATAAATTACACGATAATGAACGATCAGTTAAGAGCCGAACTGAAAATCAAGATCACATATCAAACATTAAAAAACTAAAGATTAATTAAAATGGGGAGAATGTATGGCTTGCAGTTGATATATTTTGCATCCCCCTAATAACACAAAGGGAGATATTTATAGTATTACATATAAAATGATGTCCATGGGATTGGAGGACAGGTGATCTCATCTTCTTAACTGAGACATTCTAGCTTAAGTATCAATTTTAACTTCACTAGCTTGTGACACATTAAATGTCCCCATAAAAGGGTAGCAAACATATAACTTATACGGACAAGACTTTGACCTCTTTACTTATTACAAAAATCCAATTAATTATTCCAAAAGGATTTCATAAATTCAAGATTTTCAAATGTAGATCGTTACCGGTTTTAATTAAGTTTCATATTCTATTTCAATTGAGTCTTTCCATTTCGTTAAAAGGGAATTCAGCAGGTCAATTACATGAAGCTGCTTCAATGCTTCGGATTTAGTGGATTCTGATAGATCCTATGCCTCCACGTGGGATGCCACACGGTTTCAGCAAAAGGGCCTCGATGGGTCGGCAAAACCACGTGAGAGCCTAGGTTACGAAGCGTACCAATAGCCCTCAAGTCTATGTATGGTTATTCATGTCATGAGTGGAGTTCTGTCTTGGGTGGAATTTCTTTGTGAAAGGTCTACCTATCATGATTAGATTTTCGATAACACGGCTTTCACCGTTTTAGATTAAATAAGTTAATAAAATTATAATATGGTAAAATGAGGTACGGTTAATCACTGTGAATCCTATAAAAATAGTGATTAAATTTAAAGTTTCAGATTCGACGAAACTTTTTATGATGATGATGATGATAATGATAATAATAATAAGTAAAATATGTGACTGAAAAATTAATAAATGTTTTTTGTAATTATTTAAGCATTATCAAACAAACAATTACTTTAAAAAATAAATTATACGTTACTTCTTATTATTCCAAACTTCTTCCAAAATAAATTATTCCAAACTTCTTCCAACTAGTCATGACTCACGAGTCGCCCAAACACAAAAAAATCTTCTCTCTCTCAGAAGTCAGAACTTCTTCTCTAGCACCTTTCATCCCCTCTCCCTCAACTTTGGACCGCCGCCGCCTCTTCCACTGCCACCGGACGCCGTTACCCCTTATCATCTTCTTCCCATCTCCGGTGAGTCCCCGTTGGTTCCGTTATGTTCTAAGCTTGAGTGTGGGGATGTGAGGCTTTTTCCCTCTTTTTCCTGCAGGTCTCTCTTTTACAATTTCTTTTTGTTAGTTAATAAAAGATAAATTAGTAAATTGTAATTACACATCACAAGTTTTGTCTTCCATGTTCTGCATTTATCTTCTTCAATATATCAAGCTACAAGAATGCATTTTTGTCACATTTGGTGGGAAGGACTCGATAGTACTGGACAATGTTGAAAGAAGAAAAAGAAGCTAAAATTTTGTTAATTATATTGTGCAGTTTTCTCTAATATTCTAATCATTAATGGAGAATTCTTGTAGTCTTAAAGTTGCTGCACTCCAAATGTGAACTCAGCACCCAACATATTGGATTTCTGCAACTTCTGAATGTTGGGGCTTAGCTAGGGATGTATTTTGAGATCAAGTCAGTTTGAATTAACTTTTGGAGTTGCCAAAAGTATTTATATTGACATTGACAATTAATTTAAATCATCTTGTTACCCGTTAGTTCATTGCCCGCAATCTCGCCAGACTTAACTCACTCTACTCTAAGTGACTGACAATGGCGGCTTCTCTCCAATTTAATTTCAAACCCGTATTCCTCACCAAATCCTCCACCAATCATGCGGCAAAATTTGCTACAATCCGCTGCTCCGCCTCTCCACCATCCAAAAGCTACACTATCACTCTCCTCCCGGGTGATGGCATTGGCCCTGAAGTCATCTCTGTTGCCAAGAACGCTCTTCAGCTCGTTGCCTCCCTCGAAGGTAAGAATCTAAATAAAAAACTAATAGTCTTTCTTTTTTCTCCCTCACATTCAACCAATAAATTTATATAACTGGTATTATGATATTGATCTTAGGGATTAAATTTAAGTTCAATGAAATGCCAATGGGTGGTGCCGCCTTGGATTTGACTGGTGTGCCATTGCCGGAAGAGACCCTTTTGTCTGCAAAGCAATCTGATGCCGTTCTTCTTGGAGCCATTGGAGGGTAGCTATAGTAATTATAACAATAATATCAAGTTTGAACTTTACTTTTCTGTTTCATTATGTATTTCTTGGTTTTTTTTTTTTTTTTTTAAATTTTAATTTGTGGATTTGATGAGAAGGTATAAATGGGATAATAATGAGAAGCACTTGAAGCCAGAAACAGGGTTGCTTCAGCTTCGGGAAGGTCTTAAGGTATTCGCTAACTTGAGGCCAGCCACTGTTTTACCTCAGGTAAAAGATTTATGTTGGATTGTTATTTTGTGATTTTCAATTCTAAAATTTATGGTATTTTGAAGAACAAGTGTATAATGTGTCGTGCATGTATGATTTTTTACTCAAGTTAGGTTAGAGAGCCATGAAGTGTCATCAGTTGAGTGTTGGACTCGGGTCTCTTTGAGCGAGCACGTGATTCATTTAGAAACTATGGCATCTTAGTATCATATTTGAAAATACACCTTCATTCGCTAACTAAATGTTAGGTTGACTTTTCTTGGCAAACTTAGAGCTTGTTTGGTAGGGACTTTTGGGGGAAGAATTGATTTTTGAATAGTGATACGATGAGAAATGTGTGGTTGAAAAAGAAGAAAAAATTATTGATGTGATGGAAAATATTATTTTATTGAAGAATGTGTGGTTGAAAATGAGAATTGATTTACTGTAGAAGAATTTAATCCATCCCNGAGAATCAATTCTCAAATAAAAAACAAACACCCCCTTAATGTTTAATGGATCATACTTATCGGTCGTTCCTTGAATCCAATAATATTTTGTTTTAAATTCATTTGAATGGACCTTGAGAGGGTTGTTATCTGTGTTGCTCGGACACTTCTACTTGGACAGTCTGACATGTGTCGAATATCGATACTCTTCGAACACTCTATCATTGTCATTTTTCTTTCTTTATAAGAAATATTATATATATCTAACTAAAAGTTATCATTAAATAACAAATAAGTACTTTTATTTAAAATATTTCAACAAAAGAAATTAATATCTACCAGAAAAATTAATAAGTATAAAACTAAAAGTATACTATATAAATAAAGATTTTCAAAGAATTTAATCCACGTGTCGATGACGTGACGTGCCGTGTCGTGTAATTAATTTCTATAAAAATTGCGTGTCGACATGTATCGTGTCGGACGCAATTGTATGTGTCGGCGTATCATTGGACTTGTTATGAATTGAGAGATATGTATGATTGCTTATATTCATTTGTTGGGGTTCGTATTTTGTAAAAAGTTGATATGCCAACGTTAGGTTGTCAATACTATTTTTGCGTGAATCTAAAATAATGTGTAAGAGAGAAGTTTTTCAGCAACTCAGTTGTTTTGGAGGCCTTGTCCCTAGAAGAGAAAGAAACTTTTTTCTTTAATTAATTCTTTTGGGTGTATCTACATATTAGATGAACAATTAGTTATCAAGTAAAGACTGTTGATAAAATCAATGTTCAATTGTCATGTAAGTTAATGGGGAAAAAACTCTTGTTAACCAAAACGTGAAACTGGAATAATCAAATATGGATTGATGGACTGAATTATTCATATCTGATTTCTTTTTGTTGTCTCTGTAGATTTGTGCAATCAGTGTTGCTGCACATGATTAATTAGTTAAAACTTGCTCAGTTTGCTGTTTGCTCTTTTTTCTGAGAAGTACTAAAAGAAAAACTTATAGTTCATGTGTGGTATGTATTACTATACCGCACTGTCTGGTACTATGATTAAATTTTTGACTTCTTTTTCTTTTATATACTATTCAGTGCTCTCCAATCCATCCACCTCACGAAAATGCCAATATATGTGAACGCCTAGCTATGTTATTTATGGATGATGGAATATAAATTAGGATGATAAGATTTAAATATAGAGTTTGAATCACACTATGCCTTTGTTTGGGCTCCATTAAAAATGCATTTTGGGAAAAAATGCATTTTTGAATAGTACTATTTTGGAGAATGTGTGGTTAAAAAAAAGGGAAAAGTTCTGAGTTTACGTGTAATATTATTTTATTGAAGAACGTGTGGTTGAAAATAAGAAAGAGAAAAAATATATTTTTGGAGAATGGAGCCCAAACAAGGGCTCTATATTCTCTAGTTTTGTTTAACCGGGGATTTTATATTTTGATAATTTGATTCAGATGTCCCCTTAAAGTTAAGTTTTTACACTATAGAAGGGGGAACTACGGCTTCCATTTATTCAGACTATTGATTATTGGTATTGAATAACGTACTTCCCTCCTACTAAATTCCTCCTCTTCTCAAATTTTCTGTTTGTTTCTCTCTCTTCTTCTCTTTCTCTTTTTCACTCTTCCATTCTCTATTATTTTCTTTCTTACGAGTTCTTCATCAGTAATATTTCCCGAGTCTATCTTACATCCCATCTCATAAGTACCAGTGTACTACTTTGTTTTATAATGTCATCTTCCTGATCAAAGTTTATCTAGCAGAAATCTTGATGGTCTCCACAGAAAGAACAAATTTTAATACCCAACATGAGCTTGTACCCGTGACCCTGGCTTGCAATGAATACCGAGTAGGATACACCTTTGAAGCTCCGTATACAATCACATTAGAACTAAATTTCTGTAAATAAGTTGCTGAGGGGAGTGACAAATGTTAAATTATATTAGCCCTTTTTTTTTGGTCTGCCAACACTATCGACTAGGGTCTTCACTGATTTGTGCAGTTACTGGCAAAATATGTTTTGAAACCATTCTTTGAAATCCTAGTCTCCTACTCATGTCAACGTATCTGGTTTACCGAAGAGAAAATATTCTTCTAGATTCCACTCACCTTGTTTAAACAATGGCTCAATTGAAAAATTATCTGGTCGCATAATTTAACTATTACTAATTGTAAGAAAAAAAATGAATTGCTTATTATGTGAATACTTCTATCTTTAATATAAAATGTCGGTGCTAAATTTTGATTTCAATAATCTGCTTTCCAATTGTATTAGTTAGTGGATGCTTCAACTTTAAAAAAAGAAGTTGCTGAAGGTGTGGACCTGATGGTTGTAAGGGAACTGACAGGAGGTTAGTGAGGTCTCGTTAATGTTGTATATCATCTAGATTTCAATATGTAGTATGTAGTCTTTACTTTAAACTTTTAGAATTCTTTTTTATTTTTTCTATGATATCATGTCTCTGTACTAGGTATATATTTTGGCAAACCAAGGGGTTTCAGCACAAATGAAAATGGGGACGAACTTGGGTTCAACACAGAGGTATATGCAGCCCATGAGGTATTCCTACACTCAACTTTCTCCTACTACCAAATTCCTCTGTAACATTCTAATGTTCAATTTTCTTGCATCTATTCCAAGCAGTCTGGCCATTGTCTTGACTGTTGAAACAAGAACCTGGACAGTCATCTTTCTTCTTTTTCCTTTTTTCTGAAGATTATTATATTCTTGGTCTTCTTGGAATTATGTACTTCCCAAAACTATTTCTCCTCTTCTGATAAAATCTTAGAGTACTCTAAAACTGCATTCAGCTATATTTATTAAAGATGTCTGTCAATAGTTACTTATTAAGTTTTCTACTCTTAGAACTAAATATGTTTCTCTCTTTTATATTTTATGTGAAACATAACTGTATCAGATTGATCGCATTGCTCGTGTTGCATTTGAAACTGCTCGGAAACGTCGTGGGAAACTCTGTTCTGTTGATAAAGCAAATGTTTTGGAGGTAATTTACCAAGACCTTTACTTTTCCTCGTGTTTCCTCTCTACCTCTCTTCCAAGTTCAACATTTTAGGTCTAAAATATTTATGAGATATAAATCATTGAGTTAGTTGCCTATGTTTTATCAAAATGTTTCTGATTCTGATGACAATAATAAAGGCTTGAGGTGATATTAGGAACACTGCTGAATATCAGTTTTTTAGGCCAAAAATACGTAGTGTTATTCTCACTGCAATCTTTTCTTTTTTTCCATTATACAGACATCATGCACTGCTTGGTTGAAATTGCAGTATTAATAGTATTTTGAGACCGATGATTATTTTATTATCTTGAGCTGTATATTGTTGCCTTTGACATATTTTTTTGAAAGTAAATATGCTATTTTGGTTAATGACACAGACTCACATAAAAAATACAGTAATGAATTCATTAAGCTTCTTTCCGGATCATGAAATTTTTTCCGTCCCTTCCTATTTGTATGCTGTCCATGGTTCAAATAGAAAAGTTCGATGACACTTCAGGGACATTTATGTTAATGATTTGGTTGCAATTTTTAGGGCAATTGAGTCGATAGTAACAAACTTTTAATGCTCCGTTATTTTTCTGTAATGGCCAGGCCTCCATGCTATGGCGGAAAAGAGTTACATCGTTAGCCTCTGAGTATCCTGATGTTGAACTTTCGCACATGTATGTTGACAATGCCGCCATGCAGCTGGTTCGAAATCCAAAACAGGTTTAGTTTGTAGACAGTTTTCTCTATTTTTGGCCTCTAGGCATCAGATTGATCCTAAACTTAGACCTCTTATTTCTGATATGGCAGTTCGATACAATTGTGACAAACAATATATTTGGTGATATTCTATCGGATGAAGCCTCTATGATTACAGGAAGTATAGGGATGCTTCCATCTGCTAGTCTAGGTGAATCGGTAAGAATGGATTAATAATCTTCAAAATTTCTTTCGAATTAGAAATGAAAAGAATTTTCACTTTCCTTATATATTTTCATGTTTTAATATTTAATTGTTTAGGGACCTGGATTATTTGAACCGATACACGGTTCGGCTCCTGATATAGCTGGGCAGGTTGATTTGAGCAGTACTGTTTACTTTTTTTTACTGAATAAGTTGTGTACTTTTGAAAAATCAGAAGTAATCATAGTTTTTGATGGGGTGATTTAAATTTTAAAATTTAGGACAAAGCAAACCCTTTGGCAACAGTGCTTAGTGCTGCCATGCTTTTGAAGTATGGCCTGGGAGAGGAAAAGGCTGCCCTGAGGATCGAGGCTGCCGTTTTGGATACTTTAAATAGAGGGTTCCGTACTGGTGACATACACTCAGCTGGTTTGGTATGTTCGTTTCAAACTACACTTTCTCTGTGATTAATTAAGATTTCTTTCTTTCGTCACGGATAGAAATTAATCTTTTAATGGGTTTTTGCATGGGAAGAGAAAATGGAGCATGCTTGTAAAGCCTTTCGATTGAGTTGTGTTTTTATTCTTGTATTTGTCGTGCTTTGCAACCTCTATGCGTCGTTAGTCATCTTTCTTCGTCTACATATTCACATTTCACTTAATTTCTCCAGAATCTGGTGGGATGCAAGGAGATGGGTGAACAAGTGTTGAAGTCGATTGATAGTTCAGTCCCTGCTGCTGTATAAAATCTGTAGCAAGGTAATCCCTTTGACCAATTTCCTTTTCCAGCAGCAGACCAAAGAGCATTTATGAGATCAAGTTTGTGCAAATTTTCCAAGAAATTTTTTTGGCTCTAGAATAAAGTATGCTGTGAGTGATGTATCTTATTATCTAGACCAGGATTTTAAGACGCTAAGATTCATAATGTATTTTGTTGTAACATTGAAATATCAATAAGATGATCGTATTTCAAAATTTGTTTTGCCATTCTTTCTATCAATATAGTTTTGTATTGCATGCCAAACATGCCGCTTGTAACTTGAGGTATTCATTTTAATTACATTTGCATGAAATTGTCTCGTGCACTATGAATTTCCAAATTACTTTTTCGGATTTTTCCTGCTTGGGACCACATTGGGTTTAATTTCATGTTTGTTAAGGACACTAGAAGTCGAGGGGTGTGTACGATTTTAATATTCCAACTTGCAACACGATGTTACGAAGCATGCTTTTGTGTTCTGGGCACGGTTTACTATCATGTCTCTTATACAGTACTCCATATAGTCACTATCAGAACACCAAGAGTTCATTAGGAATTAGGTTCGGATGCTCGTCCTGCACGAACCTAGTTGGTTTGGACTGATTTGAATGCAGACGATTTATCTCGATATAACAAGCAGTTCGATTCGAGAAGATATCTCGAGGAGTTTAGGATAGCCAGACATCCCGAACAATAAGTCTTTCTAAATACGGTCTCGATACCCGACCTCTCTTTCAAAACCTAATTAGTAGCAAGGACCACAAACGGAATCACGAGTGATGTCTTAGCTGGTTCTTGATTGACAACTGCCAAATTGTGACATATTATATAGTTTAGAGGTGCAAAATTAATAAGAAAAAGACCATAGAATTAATATTTTGATAAAAATCAATGCACAAGATGGACATGATCTTGTATCAATTCTTCTTTGACAAAAATAAAAATAAAAATCAAACATTAATTTTCACAAAAAAAAAAATTACAATTAATAGATCCAAGATCCTCGAACTGAAAGCCATAAAGAAACTCACAATTGAAGGCCTGCAAATCAACTACATAATATATTCATAATCTTAAAGACAGCAAAATGTGGCTAAGCTTAACTTATTTACTAATGAGTAAATTTATATTAGCCTTTTAAGCTTAGCCAAACACGCAAATCTAACAAGTTCTGAGTGGCTTCCCACATAGGCAGTCGTTGTAAGTAAATGATGATGCTTCGAGATGATCAAATGGAGAGCCCGTTGGAATCGGCCCGCAGAGATGATTATGGCTTACATCAAGATGGCCAATATAAGTTGCTGAAGAAATGGACTTAGGAATTCTTCCCTTCAGCTTATTGAACGATAAATCCAGCGCGGAAAAATACGATCTCGGCCCGAATGCATCGGGAATATAACCCTCAAGCCCGTTTCTGCTCAAGTTCAATATGCTGATGCGGGAATTGATCAATGTAGGAGGAATTGTACCAGACAATTGGTTCCCATCAAGATTTAATGTTGCAAGAACTGCCATTTTGCCTAATGAATCTGGGATTGGCCCGGAAAGTTGGTTGAAAGAAAGATCTAAATCGGAGAGACGATAAATGTAGGGTATCGAGTATGGGATCGGCCCGTTTAGTTTGTTCTTGCTAAGTAAAGCCCGGCTTAACATTCTTAATTGGCCAAAATTTCTCGGGATTGTACCTGTTCAAGACAAAAAATCGAATAATAGATTAGAACTTCACAACCTATTTATTAAAAGTTATGTTTCGTGTCGAGTTTTACTGAAAATATTGAACTTGTCTAAATGCGACAATGCATGTTAATCGTGCATGTGAACCTTCTTTTAAACGTTTAAACGAGATAGTCATAACATAGAATCCGTCGATTCCGTCTGTCCAATCTTGCCCTACTCATTTATTAAAAGTTATAAATTGTGCAATTCGGGGGGGAAAAAAAACCCAGCTGATTTAAATTTCATGGTGAGATGATTAACACTACCTGAAATTATGTTGGATCGGAGATCTAGATGCATTAGAGACGATAAGTTGGTGAGTGACCTCGGAATTGTACCGGAAAGTTGATTGTCGGCAACGTTCAATACGCTGAGTCGACTCAGTCTCCCGATATCGGCAGGGATTTCTCCGGTGAGCCTGTTCCCGATCAAGTCGAGGATTCGGAGGAATGGCAATGAAGCAATGCATGGTGGGATAGTTCCCGAAATGCCCTTCCAATCAGCAATTGTAAGGCTTGACAGTCTAGTAAGTTTACAAATCTCCGGCGAAATTGTTCCGGTCATATAACCAGCCCGGTGTGCTTTTTCGAAGATGGGGTCCTCCGATTCCCCGCGGAGGTTGATGTCAGCGACTCGGTAAGTCTCCTGGTCGCAACTCACTCCATACCAGTTATGACAACAGTCAGTTCCTGTCCACGAGTTGAAAATGCCCAAGTACGGCTCATGTAGGGCAGCCTTGAAGGCTAGTAGAGCTGCCCGGTCCGACGGCGGGCAGGCATTAGATACAGAACTCAGTGTCAGAAAAACAGCTGATATATACAAAAGGCTTGTAAATCCCATTGTTTATCTATAGTTTTCTCTCTCTAAAACTCAGTACTTTTCGCTCTCTAAATCTCAGTTTCGCATGTGGAGTATTCACTGTAATATTAAATATGTCATGCAAGCTGAAGAATGCGTCGGCAAAGGGTTATCTATATAATATATATAGGTGGGAACTTTTTGTGACGATTTTGCCCCTCACATGTGGTGTGTAGCTCTATAGGTGTACAAGTTACATGGTAGGACATAAATTGAAATCCAAAATAGATATACCTTATTTGGTGCAGCTTAAAACCTCACAAATTTAAGTCAAAATCAATCACATTTTATGAGATTCACAACTTTTCAACTACATATTTTATTAGCTTCTATCATCTAATTTTTGCTACACCAAACAGGCGATAATCAGGGACGAAGGGAGGGAGGCAAATCTAAGTTTTAGCGGCCCACCCCCACTTGGTTTTTTAGCTTCTATGTATTAGTCAAGTATGAATTTTTTTTTTGTCCCCTTGGCTCCGCCTCTAAAAATTATGATAAATTGCTAAATCTTTTTTTCTAATGTGATTTGAGACTTTCTTCTCTCTATATATTCCAATATGATATAAATATCTTATGAACGAGAAGTCGTAGGGCTAATATTATGTTCATATCCTGCTTGTCTAGCGGGATTTTTTCATTTTAGACTGTACAATAGTTACAAGTTTGTTAAACATGCGAGTGGAAGGATTAAACTTTGTTAGTCGGGACCCTTGCGTGCATATGCAAGGTACCCGTGGCACCACAAGGGTGGTCCAAGACATAGTAATCCTATAGTCGGTCTTACTCTCAACATATTATTAGTGACTAGATTTAACTTTTTTTTCCCTTCTCAATTTCGTCTTGTGTTATCTAGTAAATTATACTATACATTCAATAACAATATGTTAGGTACGATCGATTAGATAGACAGACAAAATATTGTATAAATATGTTTTCTCTCTCCTTTCATTCTCATTCAATTCAATTCAATTCAATCTGGTTTATCTTACCAAACGAGTAATGATACAATTATGATGAAGAGTGAAGGCAATGGTGTATGTTGGATTACGTGGCAATTTTGGGAGAATAGATTTTGTAATAATAATTTTTTGAAGAATATCTTGTTAAAAAGTAGGAATTTATTTTTGTTTACGTGTAAAATTATTTTATTGAAAAAAATGTAGAAATGAGCTTTTAAAGAATGATGCTCTAACATATGCTAAAATTAAGAGTTGTTCTGCATGTACAAGGTGGAGATTCATAGAACGCCCACCAACAACTCACATAAGGGGAGAGGGTGGGTAATTTGTTTTGTTTTATTTTTATTGAGGTCGGCACCTCTTTGTGAGTTGTCAGTGGGGATTGTTCAGTGAACCCCCACCATGTACATGCAGAACGATTCTAAAATTAATGTCTTTGCTGTCCAACTTCAAAATGAGTTCAATTTTTTTTCTCCTTTTAATTTAATTTGAGTTATAACAAGAATTTCGGGACTAAAAAGAGTTTATATTATTACCTATTAGAGAGTAGATGAATTATCAACATCATGAAATAAATTATTTCTATTATTGTGGGCCATTTTGTTAACATCATGTCTATGTTATCGTTTGTACACATTATTAAAAATGTTATTTTCAAGAGGAAATTCATGTCATGAACATTAATTGAAGGGATAATTTCGATTGAACATTTTGATAGAATCCTCTAATTTCAAACTACCAAAATTTGATAATAATATGATTATTAACATCATTAAACAAGTGCTTAATATAGTATGAAAATTTTTAAATAGAAATAAAGAATATCATAGTAGAAAAATAGATGAATGTTGGGAAACTTAGTGCTATTTATATCTACAAACGAAATGTGCCATAAAGGATATATTGAATATAAAGTATTAGACAATACTTTTCGTACATATATTGTTGTAATGTTGTCCATTTTAACAATTTCAAAGAGTGGTCGATTTTAATTTTAAGAAAAAAAAAGTGTTAATAAAATTAAACCTCAAAATTTCAATTTCTCACTAGGGATATTCTCAAATTTGAGCATTCGCGAATGATTAATAAAAACAACACGAGGGATTACTCTCTAGGGTTTTCTTCGAAACCATCATAGATAAATACTTACAAGGACCGAGCTGTGGTGACAGGGAGGGTGTAACACCCTCCCTCACAGACCACCCACATTGGGGAAGGGAGGGTTTTTTTTTCCATTTTTTATTTCGCGCGGGTCCCACGTCGGGCCCACACCCTTGTGAGGGTCAGTCACCCAAGTGGTCAACCATTTTCTGGCACTTCAGCTTTATTCATACTTACAATTATTAGAAATTATATGCAAGCGTACTTGTATGTAATATTTTACAAAAATTCATTTTTTCAAAACTCATTTTCAACCACATATTCTTCAATAAAATAATATTATGCGCAAATTCAAATTTTTTTCTTATTTTTTAACCACATACTTTTCCATCAAATCATTATTTATAATGCATTCTTCACTCAATAATGTGCATCAAACATGGTCTAGATTAATTTACACAACAAAAGAATAGATTTGAAAATTCATAATAATAATAAGTGATGCTACCAATATTCGTACCTAGATTTGACCCGAAGGTGTTGGTTGAATATCCGCGCACGACGAGCTTCAAACGCGGCAAGGTGTGTCCTAGTTGCCCCTCCTATGTTTAAGTCAAATAGAGGGATGACAAAATATTACTTGATTCGGTATTTCTTATGAAAACGCGTACCTTGAGAATGAGGAGGGGACACCTATTTAAAGAGGTTGGTGGATGAGTCCTAAATGGACTAGTATTTCCTTACGGAATGTGTTGGTGCTGTGCTGGGATTGTGCTGCTTTGAGATAAGATGAGTTTTTTGGTAAGTTTGAGGGTTTAATGGTTAAGTTGAACTAATATTCTTTGGTCACGTGCTGTTGTAGGAAGGCACGTGAGGGATGAACTTGACTGGGGCACACTCGAGCTCGACCTCATGCCTCCCGCCGTGAAGCATAAATGAAAATGGTGTGGTTGAGATCGGGTTGTTATTATGGAGGTAACATATGACCTCGACCTCGACCCCGGTGCATAGAATATTCGAGAATAATGTAATAGCCCGACCTCGAGATCGGGTATGAAATCATCAATAACAATAATAATAAATCATTTGTCTCGCATCCCTATTCGTTTATCTTGTCTAGTTCTATTCGATTCAGTTCAATATTTTTAAATAAGCGAAGAACAGAAACACCTATGAAATTATAGTAATATATTGAAAAAATACTTTATTTAATGTTTTTATTTTTTATTAAGTTACGTCCCCGCTGAATACCTTCGTCCTCGACACGAATGCCAATGGAGATAGAAACAAGGGTGCACCATCCCAAATTCCAGTGTTAACTGGTGGAGTAGATATCCCACGTTTCTGGGATTTGTAACAAAAGAAATTCACATGGGATTTCCATGTGCAAATCGAAGGACACGCCATAAAAATGGAACATACCAATGATTTATGTATAATTCAAGAAAACTTGTTGCATTTTTTTATTTCGCAAGTATAAGATATCGTAACAAGTAATATAATGAACCTTTGAGTTCGAATTATCGTTCCCACGATGACTATATTTTAAGACTTAATCTAATTTTTCTAACTCCTATTTGACAAAATCAAATAAATAATTATGATAGTTGTAATTATTTTTCCTCGCTACTTTTAACTAATGGAAAATATAAAATGATTGCAAACAATAAATAATTGAAAATTCAAATATGTGATTAATAGTAGGGAATAACAATTTCATCTATTGATTACCTCTATTCTTAATTCAAGATTCATAACATAATATAATGTTCAATCGAATTCTTCTATTGTATTCAATTAACTACTCTCAAGTTCTCATTGAGCCTATTTAACTAATTCAGTGCTTATTTGGTAGGAATTTTTGGGGGAAGAATTGATTTTGAATAGTGATATGATGGGAAATGTGTGGTTGAAAAAGAAGAAAAAATTATTGATGTGATGAAAAATATTATTTTATTGAAGAATGTGTAGTTGAAAATGAGAATTGATTTTGAGAATCAGAAACAAACAACCCATCAATTCTATATCTCTATGTGAATTAACATTAGTTAAAGAAACACTGGTTCTAAGAATTCATATTATGACCGCAATAATTTAGTATATATATCTCTACACATTATACTAATTTACCGAATTTTACTATATGGTCTAAATCTCAAACTCACATCTCGATTCGTAAGAGACTCACATAATCATCAAATTATTGATCAGGTAATTTAATATGTTAAATTCGTAATAAAATCAATGCATAAATAAATAAGTCACGGAAATCTTGTATAAAAAAATAAAGGTTCATAAGTTGACTACATTGTTTTCCATAATATAAAAATTAGTTATTCATATTGTAAAAATAAAAATACGCAAAAGTGAAAAGATATCAACAAAAATTGACGAAATGTGAAAATTTCTGTTGTTTGTCTTTCTTCTTTTGTTTTCTTTTCCCTTTTTATTCTCTCTCTTTCTTCTCCTCTCTGTGCCGTTTTTCTTCTTTTCCTGTTCTCCTTTCTGTTCTCTCTCTCTCTTTTTTTTTTCTTCTTGCTTGCTACAGCACCACAGTCCTCTTCTGCCTCTATTTCTTTTCTGTTCGTCCCCTCTCTACGTGTTTCTCTTCTACCTCCTCTTCTGTGTGTGCGCGCGAGCGTGTGCGTGAGTGTATATATAGGGAAAATTTCATAACTAAAAGGTTTAGTTTTATCAATTTCAAATTTAAGAAACTAAGTTTAAAATTTCAAATCTCAAATTTTTTAAGGTTTAAAATTTCAAATTACATATTTCCAAATTTCTTGATCACGAATTATCGAAATTTAAGGTCATAGATTAATAATGAGTCACAATGAACCAAAATGTCGATCACATACACCAAACACCCCACCCCCGTCCAGATCATCCACCAATATTTGGTCACAAATACTATCCCACCCC